GATTGTTGTTAGCAAGACAATATCCGAACTGCAGATAGGCATTTGGTTCAGGACGTCTTAAACTCCCGTCGAAACACTCAAATGACCGTAAGCTTTGAGACCCACAGATTCCATGCCAAGGTCACTGAGCCAAAGAATATCAGACCAGGAAAAACATCAATTGTGAGCTGTCGCTTGAAGAGGAATAGGTAGAGCATCAAGTGTGAGGATGGTCCCGTTGGCCGCATTCTTCCATTCCTGCCGATAATCGCTCCGATGCTACCATGTGGCTGGTGCAGACTAAAAACAGCAGCTACGTCTGACACCTGAGGCGCTAAATCCGTGACGGCCAGGCCCATCGACGCCCATGGGAACGACCGTCGACAGAATCGTCTTGCCGCACGGGCCAAGCCACTTTATTTTGGCCCGTCCGTCTCTCCAAGGCTCCACCTCCAAAGAGCTTCATACCTCGTAAATTTTACTATCCCAATCTTTTACTTCCCACATATCGATCGCCAGGCGCTTGCGCATTACCCAAACGCACGCCGAACGCGAAAACCGACAACGAGCGACTATAGTTTCAACATCACTGCATCCCAGACGTCGCAATGGACGACACCGAGCGACGCTCCGCCAAGCGCTCGCGATTCGACCAAACCGAACCTGAGCCTCGCAAGGCTTCGAGATTCGACCGCCGCTCTAGATCGCCGCCTGGAAGACGTTCAGAGTCGGCAAGAGAACGTAGCCCTCTGCCCAATGACCAGGCGACAGAACCGAAGAAGTCGCCGGTAGATGCCGCTGCTGCGGCTGGTAGGGATTGCGCCTCGCTTTGGCTGTAGAATCAATGGCTAACAGACTCATAGCTGCCGCGGCCGCGCGAATCAACGCGCAACTTCAAGCGAAGAAGGGCATTCAGCATGTCGACGTTCCCCCTATCAAGACCGCCACTTCTCCTACAGGTGGTGCCCAATCGCCCGATCCGGCCAACACGATCAATGGAGAGATGTACATCGCCGACGGCGACTTCATCAAAGACATTGAAGTCAACGACCTTCGTAATAGATACCTCTTGACCAAGGGGTCGACTCAGAAGATGGTAAATACTCCTGTGCAAAACCACTGATCATACTTCCTTCCCAGGCCTCATCTCGAGCGCATTCCGCTTTCCTACATATAAACAGATTTGTGTCGAGATCATCCTGCTTACTTGGCACGATAGCTCGCACAGATCACCCCTCTTTGGCACCTGCTGACTCCATTTGCTTGATTTAGATCAAAGAAGAAACTGGTGCTGGTACGATACACCTCCCACTTTTACGTCTAATTAGGAACAAAGGTTGACTTTGCAAGATGTTACTACCCGAGGAAACTACTATCCCGACAAGAGCATGGCGACTGCGGCGGTATGTCAACTTCGAAAACCATGGTATAGTAACACGCACTGACTCTCTCCTCAGAATCCGCCTTTGTACTTGCATGTCACAAGTACATCCAAGACTGGACTTGAGCAGGCCGTGGCAAAGATTGAGGAACTTATGAAACAGGAACTTCCCGCGCTGGTAGATGAGCGTCGTTTCCGTCGACGTGACCAGGAGCAGGTTGAGAGGGACGAATATGGCCGAGTATGTATGCAAATCAGTCTCGAAAATTTGTGTCTAACATATTGCAGCGCAAATGGCCCGAGGAGAAGATCCCTATCGGTTTGGAGTCCGTCCCCGGATTCAACCTCCGCGCTCAAGTTGTTGGCCACGGCGGTGCCTACGTCAAGCACATCCAGCAGGAGACTCAGTGTCGCGTCCAGATCAAAGGACGTGGTTCCGGGTATCTGGAGGCAGCCACCAATCACGAGAGTGACGAGGACATGTATCTTCACGTCGCGTAAGTGCATTGTCGCCTTGCCGACATTAACGCATAGGTACTGACTCTGAATAGCGGACCTGACCCTAAGATGGTTGAGAAGGCCAAGGAGCTTTGCGAGGATCTGATTGCAAATGTCAAAGAGCAGTACGAAGAGTTCAAGAGCAGACCTCCTCGTAGTTATGGTGACCGTGGGGGCTATGGCGACCGCTCGCGGGGGCACGATGGCGGCCATGGCGGATATGGAGGCCACGGTCACGGTGGTGATCGCGGCGACCGCGGCGGCTATAACTCCGGATACGGAGGCCACGGCGGCCATGGTGGTCACGGTGGTCACGGCGGCGGCGGCGGCGGCTATGGCGGCCACAACGCTGGGCAATCAGCAAGCCCTGCTCCTGCCGGCGGTTCTAACAGCCCTGCCGCTGGAGCCGACTACGCCGCTCAGTACGCACAGTACTACGGCAGTCAGGATCCTTACGCTGCCTATGGCGGATATGCCGCTTACGTTCAAATGTACCAGCAGTACTATGCTGCCGCACAAGCACAGCAGCAAGGCTCACCCGCGCCCCCGGGAGCAGCGGCATCCCCTCCACCCCCGCCTCCCAGCGAGGCTGCTCCTCCTCCACCTCCTCCGAGCTCTGCTCCCCCTCCCCCTCCCTCAGGCGCGCCTCCAGGCACTGGAGGAGGCTACGGTGCTGTAAGTACCATTACTTCAACGTTGACTGAGAAACTTTGCTAACACAGAGAATAGGTACCGCCCCCTCCTGGCCTTTAGAGAGAGACTTCAGGAAAGAAGAACGGGTCTAAGGTATTGATGATAGTCAAAATTGCAAAGCCACGAAGTGGTGGGGAGAATCATCAGAGGCGCATCACTGTAGTATGTGAGCGGCTTTGTGCAGGGGATGGTCATTTGAACGTTAAAGGAGGTACAGATGAAGTTGTATATGACTCAACAGACATAGTAATATTACCACAAAGCAACACATGACGTCTGTGTACATTTAATCCTGTCAGGGCTTCGTGATATCAGTCCTGCCGAACTATTCCTTTACTCGTCAGCGCATTAGCTGATGGTGTCACTGACTTGCCACGGCATAGCGGAGATACATATGTAATATTCTGCTTCTACTTTTCCTGCTATGATAAGCTTTGTATCGTTTCTCTTGGGAGGAGCAATGAGGAGGTAATCTTGCTTTCGAGACTCAATCTAGCAAAAGGCGATGCAGGAAAGTGTCATATTTAACTTCGACAAAAAACATCTCAGACTGCTTAGAAAACAACCCAGAAAAGAAAAGGGAAAGGAAGGAAGGGCTGGTGATAACTTACTCGATACTTCACGCCACTATCCGGAATCGAACAGCGCGCCCCTCCGACCACCACTGGTTTCATTGGGGTATTTCATTTAATCTCGACTTTGCGTCAGAGTCGAACCCACTCGGCCAGTTGACCGCGGGGTGGTGGTGACAGGAACGACGTTGGGAAGGGATGTATACCCTCAGTCTCCGCGAAGTTGGTAAGGTACTTAGGTTGAGGAAGGAGGGATGTAGCGGGAGGAAGGAGCGATGCAGGCGCACACCACTTGATACATGAACTACGGCATGCAGCGAAAGTAGTCCTACGAACCCAAGCTAAAAGACGTTTCAAGTGACCAGCTTCGCTAACGACGTGATGGTAGAATTGACATCTCCCATTACGTCCAGAACTGGGGTGTGGTCAGGCCACACGGGCTGGTAAAAGGAACGACTGTAACTGAAGGCACCCGATGAGGTAATCTCTCTGAGCTGAAAGAAATCATTTCAGGATTCTCTTCGAACCAAGGACTATCATCCTGTTAGAAGGCAGTCTCTCCGACTATAGTTGTTGGCATGAAGTGGACAACACTTCAAGTCAATTTTAAATCTCTCAAAGGGAAAAGGTGGGAAGGACTTGTTGTCAGACTTGTTATCTCCTGAGCACTGCACCAAAAGCTATCCTCCCATACGTCTCGGTCTGATTGACCGCTCTAGGCTACCCTCTTATCCAGCCACATGTGTCCCAGTATGTGGTCTGAGTAGCACGGAACATTGCGGAAACCCTCGACCATTCGAGAGCATCTGGCCTAGTTGGCGTATCCCGCATGCCTCTGGCATTCTTGCAAGGTGTAGTACCCGCATGCCCAAGATTTCCTGGGCGGAGGTCTAATATCATATCTCTTGTGCTGGCAGAGGCTATTACAACCTGCCATCGTCATACTCTCAAGGAATTAAATGTGAGCGTGGATCTCGGTAGAAGCCGACAGAGATCTCAAACATGGTTAATGGTCTAAGTTGGCCGCTCAAAACCATCACGATAGTCTTCCGTACGAAGATGGTATACTGATGCTTCCAAATGGCTTCTCCTCCAAAAGCTGATGAACACACCAGAACTTTCCCAAATCTTCCACCTCATCTTCATTGCAGACCATTCCATTAGTCTTAATATCCATGACATCCATAGGCCAGCATGGCTATTGAATGGCTACGTGTACTAAAACAAACCAAAATATGGGCGGGTAAGTGTAGTGCTGGGCGATGTATGGTTTCGTTTATCTGCGACCAAGAGTTGAATGATGCTGCCCGACGCCCCCTACAAATGACAGAGAGGAAACTCGCGAAACTACTCGACATCTGCAACCGAATTGTGAACCTGCAGACCGGAATTATATCATCGTGCCGTTAGCGAAGCTTGCCACCTGAAAGATCTCCTGGCCCATGTTTTTAGAACTGCTTTCACTACGAGATACCTTGTTCCTTTACTCGGGACTCGAACAAAACTTAGGAGGACAATTCATCCACAGTGCGCGGGTCCGTCCGCCCTCCGTGGACCTCGAAATCGGAACCCCGGGTGGGGCCATGGCATGCGGGGGGAGAGCTCCGCTCGCCGGCCTGGGTCTTTCCACACACCCACTCTCTTATCGATAAAAAGACATCCCGGGACCCACCAGAGCTACTAAGGTAAGGTAAGACCCCCAATCGTCATTTCGTCCCACCAGCCCATCTCTCCAACGTCTCTCACCTCTCCGTATCTCCAATTATCATATCTCGTCCCGCGGCGCATCCCCCGCTACCCGAGCCCGACGACACACCGAATCCCTCCAAGCAACTCACCCTCTCTCCATCGGCCAGCGAGACGCGAACACCGCAGTCATGAGCCATCAAAGATACCCGTCACACGACCCCCTAAAGGAGCCTCACTCCGTCTCCTTGAAAGTCCTCAGGTAGAGATCCCGACTTACACGCAGCTGGAGTGCCGCATTGTCCTCTCACTTAGTCCGCCAATACCTAAAGAAAAAGAACATGCTTCCCTAACACGAAAACAACCAACAGACTATCCCGCCCCTCCCTCGTAATCCAACACCCGATCCGGCCCCCGCTGACGCCCTCAACCCTCCCCGCCGACCCGACCCCGGCCTCCCTCGCCTACGACACAACCGCCTCAACGAACCCCTCCCCCTTCCTCCTCTCCCCGATCCTCAACCTCCCGCTGAGCTTCGGCTCCGCGTACGTAGGCGAGACATTCAGCTGCACCCTCTGCGCAAACCACGATGTCCCCGAGCCCGTAGCAGCAGTCCCGGGGGGAGGAGGACCCCTCGGCGCCACCGGTGCGCCAGCAGCAGCATCGGCGGCCCCGGCAAAGCGCAAGAGCATCCGTGACGTCCGCATCGAAGCGGAAATGAAGACCCCCGGCGCGAACTCGATCCAGAAGCTCGACCTCTCCCCGCCAGACTCTGCGGATACCAGCGGTGGCGGCGGCGACGATGACCTCAAGGGAACGGACCTCGAGGCTGGCGACACCCTCCAGCGCATCGTGAACTTTGATCTCAAGGAGGAAGGCAACCACGTCCTCGCCGTGACGGTGAGCTACTACGAAGCCACCGAGACCTCGGGCAAGACGCGCACCTTTCGGAAGCTGTACCAGTTCATCTGCAAGTCCTCGCTCATCGTCCGTACGAAGATCGGCCCACTCGCTCTCGCTTCCGGCAAGAAACAGGCCGGTGGTGGTGGGCAGCGGCGGTGGGTCATGGAGGCCCAGCTGGAGAACTGCTCCGAGGACGTGATCCAGCTCGAAAAGGTGGTGCTGGACCTGGCCGACGGGTTAGGCTACACGGACTGCAACTGGGAGACGGGCGGGGGCGCGCGGCCGGTGCTGCACCCGGGCGAGGTCGAGCAAGTGTGCTTCGTGGTGGAGGAGGCCGAGGGGACGAGGGCGCAGCCGGGCGAGGACGGGAGGATCATGTTTGGGGTTCTCGGGATCGGGTGGAGGGGCGAGATGGGGAATAGGGGGTTTCTTTCCACGGGCAAGCTGGGCACGCGACACGTGGCGTGAGCGAGGGAGGTCTACTCAAGTCTCACGCACAAAAAAGTCCAGACCAGCAAAACAGCAGTTGAGGCGTTCGTTGGGGTGGGAGGGGAAGGGGGAATATTGCATTGGTGAGGACAGCCCCGGCGACGGTGACAGCTCAGGAACGCGACGCAGAGCGCTCAAGGCGTCCCCAGATTCAGCCCAGTGGCAGACCACACACATCTCCACCATCCGGGGATTGGTATACACGCACTACGCCTTGGGGAGAGCCGTGCTGATGGCTTGAGATCCCATCAAAAAATCCAAAGGGAACTGGATCACGGGAGCTGGATCAGGTCTCCCCCGCACGGTCGGGGCGTTGAGCCGTGTTTCCGGGGCAAACGCCGCATCACGATGGAGGAGGATGAGGAGGGTTATCATCCTTCGCTTCTTGGATGTTGTTGGACCTCTCACGCCTCTCTACATTGAAGGAATGGCGGAAGGCGTGTCGGTGCTCAGGAGAAACGCATCTTGGCATCCCCAGCTGCTGAGATGAACCTCGTTGAAGATACCTACCCTACTTTAGAGTGAGAATCCCATAGGCCGTGGCGTTCACGACGCTCGGATGCGCCACTAAACCCGCACCAACATGTCACATTATCTTAAAGAAATGTGTAATTCCTGAACAGTCCCCCTCCATTCCCCACCAGGTGGCTGACCTTTTGACATCTTCAGATCTCAGCGGGTTCAAATCTAAGATCTCAAAACTCTAAAGAACGTCCTGAGACTATTGCACGAACGGTTCTTAGCGCCGCCCTTCTCTCTCCCCAAGATTCGTTTGCTTACCCTCTTACCTACCCTTCGGTCCTTCTTTTCCTCCAACAGGGCTGGTTATGGCTAAATAAAAGGGGTCACGGAGGCAAACCGTGGTCACAGCGCCCATTCCTTCCTGCTCGTTTTCATTACGACTTACGAGCCTCTCTTTTCTTCCATATTACATATGACCTACTGTTGTGGTACACCGAGTGACATAGCTAGCCAAGGGCCGCAGGTGGACACGAGCAGCAGAAGCATGAGCAGCAGTAAAAGTGCCATGCGGCTTTGGTTGCTCTGCGTATTTCTGTCGTGTCTCCCGTCCGAAACAGGAACCTGGTTCTGTAGTTCTGCAGTCCTGCAGTTGCATTGCATGGGATCGACAAGTGGCTTCACCATATTTGAGCGGTTCCCCTTGCCACGGCTAGGCCGCTGTTGAGGATTGATTACGGTTGGTATTTGCCGGAATGAGACGACCATCTCGTTTGGGTAGCTTGCAGCGAAAAAAGCGAATTAAAGTAGACACGTTGGGCTTCCAGCTTCTCCAAAAGTCCAACCCAACACGGGGGTTCTGCAAGGAGTGCGTCGTCATGTAATAAGCAGCGGCTTCGGGGACGTAATTTGAATCTAGTGTTGTAACTGTGTTGAGTCTCTTTATTTCTCAGCCTCTCAGGTGTGGATTAACCACTGGAACTGCACGCCGCAGATTGGAGGATATTTCCGGGTGGCATGGGTGGGTAGATGAAGAAATCCAGAATAGATGCGCCCGCCTTCCGCTGACTGGCATAAGGAGCAGACTGACTCTACGTCAGCTGGAAGAGTCATGACTTGTGAGTCGTTCAATCTGGCAAGTTGAATTCTGAGTAGAGCCATCTTCTCATACATTCGAAAAAAAAAAAAAAACTCTGGGCGATCCAAATCCGGCGAGATGATGAGTCGCTATCGCGGGCCAGGGGCCAGGGAAGGCAGACAAGACCGACAGATTCCAGCTAGTAGATTTTTGTACACCGTAACGTGCCTAGCGCGTGGGTTGAGTCGGTATGTAGGCGAAACCTGAAACAAAGATTTCTTCAGTTGTTTGGCTGGCTGCAGGAAAAGGAGTCTATAGTGGCTGTCCTTCCCGTCGAGCCGTCTGCAATCCTAGTACCGGTAGACCGCTGATGTGTCCATACCAGACCGACGAAACAGTCTCCGAAATGTCACGATGCGGGCGGGTCCCTGGGAAGCAACAATTCGCGGCGTAACCTAGGTTCAAGGATTGGGCGTATGGGCAATCGACTCACTCTGAGAGAATATCTCAAGAGATGACATGGGTTTCCTGGGCATGACAAGTGCGTAGTGCACCGTAAAGTGCCATGGCGGGCATCTGCCGGCGCTGGTATTTGCTTTTTGGCGCCGATGAGAAGTGGTCCGCAAAGGGCTCTCGGGAAGGGGGGGTAGTATGGCGGCCAGTGAGCACCGAGCACCGGCACCACCACCCACAGACACTTGAAGCTGTGCGCCGATCCTTGTCCGTCATGTTCGACATCTCGGGCCCACGATCGGCCATGGGCCGTGACATCAAGCCTATATGAGAAAGGAATGGTCTTTTGCTCTGTGCGCGTTAGAATTTGCTGTTCTGGGAGAACTTCTGAGCAGTGTCCTGGTCTCGCACTCTTCCAAGAAACAGGTATGGTTTACAAGTGTAACCGGAGACTGCAAGGAATGCTTATCAAAACTGCTTGGTGCTCGATGGGCGTCGCGGAGAAGCGGGAAGAAGCCCATTGAGGGCGACAAGCCTCGAGCGAATTGCTGCCGACAGGCTCTCGAAACGTGCGATTGTACACCAAGGTAGACGCTCCATTACAGCATGCAAGACAATTCGGCAAGCTCGTCGACAAGCAGGTACGTTTACAAGGTGACATTTGATAGATGCCGACTCGAGGCAAAGTGCATGAGGCGGGCGAGGAATACTCCGGAGTCTGTAGCGAGCATTGAGATGCAGACCGCCTTGAATGCTTGCAAGTTACTGCTTCTTTGCTTGCTCGCCCTGTCCACGCTGAGCCATTCGTATTCGTCAGAACGCCAGACGTGTGGAAATGCGCTTGTATGCTGCAGTCTGCAGAAGCTCCATGGGCCGTCTTGCGTAGGAGCTGTGAGAGGGCAATTGGAGTTTACCCACATCCCAAGAGGGTGTGATGCAGGAGCCTGATAACCCCTGGGCCCTGGGCGGCGTGCATGGTTGGCTGGTTGACCTGGGGTTGAGTTTACCAGGTTGGCAAAGACTTTGTACTCGCCTTCGCCGTGATGCCGGATGAACAGGTCATAGTCAAGTGTTTGCGTGGTCGGTTTCGTTTGACCGCCATGGTAGAGAGACTCGTGCGAACTATGAGTTGAATCGTGATCAGGTAGCGCAGACGACAGGCCTCGATGACAGGGAAGTCGGACGATGGGTAGAGTCGTGTGTTAGGCAGGCGGCCAAGAAAAGACAATGGCGAGGGTGTCGATACTGTCAACATCCATGAGGGTGGGATACGATGGGTTGGTGGAGAGGATCCACAGGCGAGAGAACTAGCCAAGGATTATCCTCATGATGGTTTTGTTCCGAGAGAATTTTGGATCTGGTAGATTCTTTCGTGTCGGGCGATACGTGGATGGAGATGCGAACGGGGTTGGACATGAGCCAAGCGCCGGTTCGCGGCATCTCGGGACAGGAGTTTGGGGGTTTGGCCGTGAGCTAACGAATAGCTGGACGTCATCTCGATCGTATGAATGGAGAAGAGGCTTGTTGGTTGACCTCAGCTTGGGATTGCATATTTTGCGGGCTTGAAACCTATTTCGTCTTCTTTTCGATATTGTGTGCTGTAGATGCGGCTTGTACGGATACTCGCATTGTGTCCTGTGTCTCGAGAGAATGCGAGAAGAGGAGTAATGTCATGCCAAAATGCCGGCGCATGGCTGATGGCGCAAGGCACGTAAGCAGTGGTCGACGCATTCAGCGAAAGGCGCAGGCCGGGGTGGGTTGACCCTCGTGGGTGGGATGCTTCTTACACGTGCGTCTTGAAGAAAAAAGGCGTGGGATACCGGTGTATCTATCTGCGCTCTGCAAGACGGGCGCTCTCTAGTTGGGCAGCCCCCGAGGTTGCTTTGCAGGTGCTTGGTGCTTGGTGCTTGGTGCATTGAACAGGACCTTTATCCTGGAAAGCGTCGTGGGCTAGCGCTGGGCCGCTCACATTTCAGATTTCTCCCCTCATTGGAGCAGGTCCCAAGACTTTCTGGAGACAATGGATATCATGGGGGGCTCTCGAGTTGCTAAGTGGCCGGAATCTACTTACCAGAAGCCCCGGGAGAGAGAAGAAAGGATTGCGGGAGGGATAGTCAGTGTGTTGCACAGAGCTGAGGGTCGGCAGAGGAGGCAGAGCTGAGAACGATCTGCCAAGGTACTAGGTGCGTGGAGGTACACGATGCTAGGCCTCTGGCGGCAGCAGCAAAAAAGCAAGTGAGGGGAAGAGCGATTTACCTTGGAATATTCCGTGATGGCACTGGAGCTGAAGAGGAGATCGCCGAGTAAAGAGGAGTTGAGAGTGGATGCTGGCGGAGGAGGAGCATGTTGCGGAGCTTGCAGTGCTGCTCCAGCACGGAGTGTTGGTACAGATACTGAGGATGCTAAGGTAGGTAGGTATGGATATGTATTGCATAGCAAAAGGTGGATTGCGGATTGTCACGATGGTGGAGCTGAATTCATCAAAAGGAATGGAAGTTCAAGGAAGTTCATGGGAGGGCATGAAAAAGGGTCAAAAAAGGGTCTGATGGGCAGAATCAGAGTGGCAGCAGCTGTGGGCGAGAGTGGGTGAATGTGGACATCATACGCAGTACCTACTCCGTACATGGGACATCATCCACAATTCGCAAAAGGAAGTCGTCTGTCTCCCTCGTCGCCCCAGCGCTTGCTCCGATGGTAACCTCCAGGTTAGGTACGGATACTGTGATGACTGAGGTGGTGAGAACAGTTGATCGACAAGCAGATGGCCGCGAGGGTATTAGTGATCCAGGGGAACGAAGCCCAGGGCCCTGACTGTCATGGCCTGTTCCGAGGTTTAGCGGATGCCTGCTTAGGTAGCGAATTGGGGTCTACGTTGCTAGGCTTGTGCCTGGAACGCTAGTTCAGGGACCGCAAGGGTGGCTTTGCACACTCTTTCCACGCTTCACCATCTCTGGTCTACCTTATCTCGCAAGTCCGCCTTCTGTAGCCACCGTTGAGAGTAAACTAGGTGATGGCGTAGAGTATACTGCCGACTATGCAAGGGGCAAACACGAGGTGATATTCTTCAAGAGCTTGGCCTCACTAGACCGAAAATGAAGAGAAAGGCGGTTGAAGGAGAGGATGGGGGCCAAGAAGGTCGCATTGGAGGCTAATGCCAAAGGCAGCACCGCTAGATGCTTCTGTCACCGAGTCCAGACCAAGTCAGACTTTGAACAATGGGGGGGGGGGGCAACATTTGATACCTACAGTACTGACCTTCCGCTGGTACTCTCTTCTTGTCCAGACTCGACTCACACGAGCAGCTGAAAGCATGAAAGGACAACCGGCGTGCGCGCGCAGCGCGAGACACGGCAGCGGCAATGGAGAGACATTCCTCGATGGGGACTTGAGGGTCTTGGTGCATATGTCATTGCATCTTCCCGCCCTCTGAGATCTCGGTTCCAGGAAAAAGAAAGCGAGACAAAATGTCGGTATGAAACACGTCAGTTATCCGTCAGCCCGGTTCAACAGCTTTCGAGGAATGGAGGGGATACACCCAGTCTTCTCTTCGCAGGAACGGAGTGGTTAAAGCAATCTCAACGTGAAGGCAGTGTAGATTGGATATCCCACATCCCAAACACCAGCCTTACGGCAATACTTGGTACCGTACGCTGGGTAACGTGAACAAAGGCACGATGCTAGGTATGGTAACATGTTATCAATATCCGTCATCTGTTAAGGAAAGGTAAGTTAAGGTAAGGTAGTGGTATAGAAAGGCACTTCGTACGGCCAGAACTGGAGATCTCATAGCGTTGTGCTCCGATTCACAGCAGAACAGGCGTCCCGTCTCCCAATCCCGACCGAATTAGATGCAATTGAGCACAGCGTCCCATTGGGCCCAGTGTTTGTTGTGGTCTTGCGGCTTGCACTTCAGGTTCCCTGTGCATACTACGTAGCTGCATTGCGACCTTTCAGTGTCCCAGGAGTGCCAGGCTTGCCAGGGCCCTCCCACGCTTGTACGCCTCCTCCAGTGACCATCCCGCAGAAGCATTCTACGTAAGGTAGTATGGTATCCTTCCCCCTCCCCTGCCCTTCGCGCCTTCTCAGGTTTGGCTGCCCTTTTCTGCCACCCCGGGCCCGCTGTTTCCCCCCGTATGCACTTGCACCCGCCCGCAACTGGCGTAAGGTAGGTGCCCCTGTACCTCAGAGTGTTCCTTCCCAATTGACTGTCCGCCCGTCTACCGCCTCCCCCGTGTCGGTCTCCACTCCTTCCTTTTCCCACACCACACCACCTGGCACCTGCACACCACAGGCAGTGACCACACACCACCTCCTTCCTCCTTGAACGGGTAGCGCCAATACACTGCAGGAGCGAATGAAGGCGGCCAAAGGTTGGTGCTTGCCCTCTTTCTCTCTCGCGTCGAGCCCGATCATCATATTAGCTTCCCATTCTGTCCCAAACCGTGCCATGGCTGTTGTTGTTCGTTGTCCCGTTGCGCTGACTTTCACTTGACTTTTTTTGCCTGAGCCCACACTGCCTTTCACTCTTCACACACGCACACAAAAGTACGGAGTGAGGTACCTACCATATCTTTGCATTTAGAAATACACACCTCCGTAAAACGGGAAACCGAACGACGCGCCCAGAAGAAGAATAGAAAATCCCATCCACGCGTGGCTTCTTGGTACCTGACCAAACCAGACCAGACCTGACCTGACTTGACTTGACCTGCTGCGCCTGATTATTTGTTTCCATCTTCTTTGCCTTTATTCTCCTCCGTCTCCTCCATCCAACGACTCGACTCTTGTTTGGTCGTTTGTAGCCTGTCGCCGGGAAAATCTGCTTTTTTGTTTTCCTTTTCCTTTCTTTTTCTTGGAGGCTCTGCGCCTGTTCTTCTGTCACCACCGAAAAAACGAAGAGGGGGAAAAGTTTATGCCGAGCGAGCAGACAAGAGCAGAAGAAAAAAAAAACACCATCGCCCTCTCTCGTTCGTTGTTGTTATCTTTGTCCGACACGACCAACCTACTACCTAAACCTGGGCGAAATCTGATCAGAGCCTGGTTCTGACACCAATCTTGACCTGGCTGACGCCTCTCCTCACTCGTCAACTATCGCTTCCGCCTCTCGACACCCAAAGCCAAACTCTCCCAAGATCCACTCCTTTGGCGGCTTTCTCTTCTTGTTGTTGATTCACCCATCGACTTGTGGCCCGCTTGTCTGCCCTACCTTATCCTCACATCACGGCTCCTGTTCTCAACATCCCACCACAACTACGCCTACCTACCACCATCAATATCATCCTGGCCTCGCGCTCCGCGACGCTTTCGCCCTTCTACGATCCGGGTTCGATCCTTTACCTCCGGCTTCCCTGCCTGACCTGCCCCTTTTGCTCCGCTGCTTAGGCGCTTTAGCTGTCGCTGGTCGAGAAGCAGTCGCATTCTTCCCTGGTTCGTGCGTTCACCGCCTTCTGTTCCCCCTCCTCTTCTCCAGTCTTGGATGGAGACCTCGACAGGATCCCATAGCTAAACGAGCCCGATTCCCTCCAGGTCGTCGCCTGAGACTTTTCTATCAGAACCTCCCGGATCCTGGCACCCCTGCCCTGTCCACCCACCGCACCGCACCGAAGTTCAACTTGTACCACAAAGTACCCCCCCAGTCCTGACCGACCACTCAACGACCCAAAGGACCCCGAGACCCTCTCGCGATTAAAAAGCCCGGGCCAGCCCCCCGTGCGAGAGCAACGAGACGTTGGGAAAAAATATCCTCGCCGGCCAGACATATCGCCAAATCGCCAATCCGGCTGGTCACCAGCAAGTGACATGTCATGGACAGCTCCTCGACGCCGCTCGCCGACTACTTTTGGATCGCCGGCGTAGAGTCCGTCTCTTATCAGGACTCTACCCCGCAGCCCCCCTCCAACAACGTCGAATCCACCATCGCCGAGGACAGCGAGTATGAGGAAAGCGATAACGAGTTCAACGCCACCCCGAGCAAGCGCGTTGCTCGTCATTCCAGCGTCGGTCGCCATTCCAGGCAGAACTCGGGTGGTGGTGGTGGCCGCGCCCCCAGTCGCTTCTCCATCCAGACTGTCGAAGAAGTAGACGGGAACACGCGAAGCAACCGGAGCAGCGCTACCATTCGACCCTCCCAGGCGAGCCAGATCAATGGCTCCGGCAACGGTGCCGGCCTCAATGTCTTCAATGGCCTCCCCCCGGGCCTCAATGGCGAAGGACAATTTATCGAAGGCTTCGACTTTGACAAGGCCTTGCTCAAGTTCGCTTCCGAACGAGAGAACTTCTTGGAAGACTTGTCCTTCAGTGCCGGTGCCAAAACACAAGCCCGCCCTCCCATGGTCAACCCCAGAGCTGAGCGCATCAAGGCTGACGAGGGCGACGCGAGCGGCCGGAGAAGTCCTCTACGCAGCATCGAGCGGAGCATCAAGGGCAGCATCCGCCGCAAAATGAGTTTCAGGGACATGAACAGCATGCGCAAGCAACCCACCACTCCTCGGGCGAGCACGCCAGGAGCCGGTACGATACCCCGCCAAGGTCCACCCTCCTCTGTAGCGCAATCCTCAAGTCCTTTCCGGTCAACTAACACGCTGGCTCCAGCTTCAATTAGGACTGCCAAGCGACTCAGCAACTACAACTCAGTGATTCCTCCTCCGGAGCCCCTGAACACGGATCCAGACATGCATCCCCTCAAGAGACGATTCGAGCCTGTCTTGTTGGACAGGTACCCAGCCAAAGACGCGACAGACGAGATCGCCCGTCGTGGCAGATTCCCAGACTACGTTCCCATGTTTGCCTTCCCGAACGATATCCAGATCGTGTCTTCCGATGACAGGCCACGTTCCACCTGGCATGGTTTTACAATGACTTCGGACGATAACTCCAAGATATATGGTATTACCATCATTATCTGGACCGCCCTGACATCCGAGGTTGCAGACGAGGTCGAGAAAAGATGTGAGCAGTGGCGGCAGAGCCACATGTCCAACGAGGAGCGGGAATTGGCGGCCAGTCTGGGAGTGCGACTTGCGGCTGAGCGTGCGCACCTCTCACAGTTGCTTGCGAAGCTCCCTACGATTCCCTCGGGGTCTTCAGCTCGTGACACTCTGGATGACCAGATTAGCGCTGTTGAGGAGAAGATTAGTCTCATGACAGAAATGCTGAGACCACTTCGGCACGGTGCCGCGTCCAAGATCGACGGCTTGACGGCTGGCGAGAGTGGACTGTGGGCCCCCAGAGCTTACGGCATCTTGGGAAGAGACGCCACGAGAATGTCATTCTGGAAGGAATGGCTGCGAGCCATCGTTGTGCCTATGACTGACAGTGCAGTTCTCCGAGTGCCACCCAGCTCCCCCAAGGTTGGTCGTTGGCAGCCTCTTGAGCGTTACGTCGTCAATCTGTGCACCGAGGCATTTAGTCCGCTGGCTTCCAAGACCCAGGTCGAGCTAGGCGTGCGAGAGTTGCGGTTATATTGTCGAAAGGAAGCCATCAACGAGATTCCAGGGGCCCGGACCATTGACATCTACGCCCTATTCAGATGTTTGTCCATGGAGAACATTGTTGCTCTGTTCGAGTACGCAATGTCGGAGTCTCGCATTATCTTCCTCTCCTCACACACTGGTATGCTTCACCTGGCATGCCACGCACTGGTCAATTTGTTGTATCCCCTTAAGTGGGCGAGCATCTTTATTCCTGTGCTCCCTGCGCGTCTGATTTCGGCACTCGAGGCACCTTGCCCTTACATCGTCGGCATCGAGCGGCGATATGAGAAGATTGAGCTTCCGGAGGACGACTACGTGCTGGTTGATTTGGACCTTGATACGATCGACGCCACTAACCAGCCCGTTCGACTTCCGCGACAGCATCGTCGCAAGCTCATTTCTTTACTCCATGTGGCCGCGCCGCATCACATTCGGTATGGAGTGACTACTGGACCCCCGCCATATGCAATGGAGTCCTACCCGTATGACGCCTTTTCAGTTGAGAACGATACTCTGTACAACGCCAGTGTCGCCTCGAGCTCCTTGGGCAAGTGGGTTACACAGAACTCTTCATCTTTCGGAGAGCCGGCCCCTCCGAACTCGGTGCGACCACCAATCTTCAATGCTTTCTTGCATTCGAAGGCTGGCGATCACAGCAAGGACCGGCCTACTACCAGCAAGTCCGGCAAAACCAGCCCACAATCTTCCATCTCACCAGTTTCGATGAACTTCCCCCCGATGCCGACCACACCTGTGTCACGCAGCGATTCCGGCTTTGCACAGACTTTGAGAGAAAAGAAGTCGGGCCACTTTGATGAGAAGTCTCGCCGCAGCTCGTCCTTTGGCATGGACAAGCACCCTCCTCTCCACCGACCAAGCTTGCCCTTCCTTAACGGACACAATCCAAGCATGTCGGTATCCGCAATCTCGGTCGATTCGCAGTCTTCGTACAATGGGTATACGCCCGGATATGCACCTTCCACGTATGCCCAGTCTACCCTGGCGGCATCGACCATCATGCCCAACATGCTGATTCAGCCCGTACGGAACACCGACACAATGGTGTGGGTCGAGGGCCATTGCTTCAACTGGATGGCCCATGACTTGTCCTCGACATGTTCCGTCTGCGACGACAAGTCAGAAGGAGACGGTATCTACGAGTGCTCTCACTGCAATGCCCGTTCTCACAACCGCTGCCTGGGACAGGTCTCCGTGGTGTGCAGCGAAGCATTTCACCCTGACCGAGTTCGAGCTGCTTTCGTTCGATGCCTCGCTAGTCTCTTGTACACGTACAGAAAGCATCTAGGCCGTCCTACTCGTGAGCAAAAGAACAATGGCCAACTCTACAATTTCGACATGAACAGCTTCATTAAGAGTCTTCCGTACGATCAACAAGAGTACGCCACAATGTTGAGAGAAACTCAAGGTAAGACAACGGCTCCTCGGAATGACATTCCTTGGCAATGCTAACAAATCATCAGCTTTCAACGAGTTTATTCACGAGCGGGAGACACACTCGGCTACGCACGCGTCGATCCGTCTCTTTGACGAGATCATCATGGCCAAGAAGGCTCGTGGACGGCCGGGACTCTCCACGGGATTCTCTCGCCTTTCGACCATCCGTATGTCGCACGGCGCGTCAAGCAACGCTTCAGGGTTCGCTGCGCCATCAAAGCTCAAGATTCCGACGTATCTGGGCGATACTTCGGACCACATGTGGCGGACGGCTTCGGTGCCTGCTCCCAGCGCCAAGTTCCCGGGCGAGTACCGAACCGTCGTCACCCGGATTCCTACCAAGTTGGACCCCAGTCTGATGAGAGAGCCTCGAGCGATCCAGGGTGTCCCTCGGGCCGAGCAACGGGCACACGGGTTCATCAGGAAGCAAGTACCCAGTATGGTTGGTAGTCCACCAAACTGAACGAATGTCGACGATGACGTTTGCCGGCGATTTCCCGGTCATGATTCGACGACAATTCCGACTTTCTGCCTCTCTGCGCTGTACGATAGGAAGAATGTATGTTTAATAAACGGCAGGGGGCAGAATTGTATAAAATCATATGAGCATAAGGGGGAGTCTGGGGTTAAAAGAGGGCTAGGGGGTTCCTCATCAAGAAGTCGTTCTTCATTTTTTCCGAGTCTTTCAATTTCCAGCTGCGAGCCAGAACTTGGATTCTATTGCCATTTCCGGATAACTGCATTGCTGTCGAGCAGGAAGTGCAAACTAGCAAGCAAAAAAGAAGCAGGTAGAGAGGGAGGGACACACAGAGGGAGAGAGCATTGGCGGATGACATGGGGCTGTTCGCAGTCGCGATACAACTGTCCCTCTTTGGTCGTTTTTTATTGCGCAAATACTAGACTAAGAAGACTTGGAGGAAACGACGAATATACTAGGCCTCAAGGTCTTTATGATTCTTCAACTTGATCTGTATCGTGACTCTGACTTGAAGTGGTTGATGAAGGTTTACGATGTAAGCGCTGCTAAGTGATTGTCGAATCATGGAACTTCTTGCCACAAGGATCTTTGCGCCATGATTCACTGAATGTGGTGGATATGGATTTCTATTCAAACGGGGAAAAACAGACCATGCCGATTCTTCTGGTGTAGTAAGTCCTCTGTTACAACCTCTCTTCCGCTCCGCCCCCTATCCCCGGCGCATCCGTGTAGGCATACCATGACTTGGGCAACTTTCCTTCTAGGGGAATTCTCATCCTGACTAGCCAGCCACATTCGACCCATTCGTCGTGCTGAATCTCAACGATGCCGAGTAAACTCCCTTCCTTTGACCTCACCTCCGAAATAAAACAAAACTTAGGCAAACTCATCCTCGGGCTCCTCAATCGCATTCTTCACCCGCACGAGCATCGTCGTCTTCCACTTGTCGAGCTTGCTAACCTGATCGTACTGGAACAGCTTATCCGTAAACTCCTCCTGGTTGCCGCCCTCGACGGCGGCGAGCAGGTCGTTGAGCAGCATGGACTCGCGCTGGTTGGCGAACCCGGGGTCCATGTCGGCGTACTTTTCGACGGCGCGGCGGGCGGCCACCATATCGCCCGTCGCGAGGTGGCAGATGCCGGCGCGGAGGAAGTAGTCCTTTACGCTGTACTTCATCAGGTTGTTGTTGATGGAGACGGCGGCCACCTTTTCGTAGTTTTCAATGGCCTTGTAGTAGTCGCCCTCGAGGGAGGCCACGTCTGCTACCTTGAGCCAGAGCTTGTTGGCGAGACTGGTTTTGAAGCAATGTTAGCTAAGCCGTTTTCTTGGCCAGAACTGACACGGGTTCCACCTACGCAGCAGCGTTGTCGCCTTCGTACCACCCCGCCGCAGCCTCGTAGCTCTCGAGAGCGCGCTTCGAGTCGCCGAGCTCCGTCTCGAATAGCTCGCCGAGCGCCTCCTTGTGGCCCGCCGCGCGGCGGAAGTTGCCCTTGGAGCAGTACTGCGTGACTGCGACCTCGAGGCAGCGGACGGCGGCCTCGGGATCGTCCTTGCGGTAGGCCTTGAAGGCGTCGACGAGGGTGTTTGCGGCATCGTCGGGCTCCTTGAGGTTGGTGGTCTGTACTTGGGCCGCTTTTTCAAAGGCCTGGCCTGCTTCACGGTCTGTAGGGGTGGACGAGATGTCAGTCTTGCTTATTTCATGGAAAACGGCGAAGAGAAATGGTACTCGTAGAAGGGGATGAGAAATGACTGACTGAGCTTCTGCATCTTAAAGGCGTTGGCTGCCTGCATGTACAGGTCCGCGGCATTCTGGTACTTTTCCTCCCGGCCGCCGAAGAAGCTGAAGCCGCCGCCGGCGCTCGAGAGCGTCTTGTCTGCCTGCGCAATCATGAAATGTTAGCGATCGTGTGTCACCATACCGATAACAACCAGGATGAATATGCATCGCGGGGTCGCTTCGGCGGCATCTCTCTTCCCCGCCGTCTACACCGTGAAAAGTGTAGCTCCGCTGCTGAAAGAAAGGTCCAACATCAACGCACCTTTTGCAGCAGAGCGCGAGGGTCCTGAGCCATGGTTTCGGAATTAAGCAAGCACTAGGCTACGATTATGGGGTGTGCTGTATATGTGTCTCTCGATCGATAAGTGTCGGGCCTCGATGGCTTGCAGTGTGCCGTCGTATACGTGCGTTCGTTAGGTGGGTTATCGCAAACCTCTCTTTATACTAGATGTCTCGAGAGGCCAGGTCGCGGGATGTAGGAAGAGAAAGGAAGGGTGTGCGTCGCTTGGTTCGTTGTTCAGGATGTGAGAGGTGGCAGTGGTGGTGGTTGCTGGCTGGCATCAGCGCTTCGAAACTGTAGCAGCGCGACATCCCCCAAGCCGCCCACTTCGGTTGGCCCTGCGTTTTGGGCTGGCTTCTTCGGGGGGGTTCTGTGGCACCAGTAGCCAGCCCAGCCAGCTATGACGCGCGGGGTGAGTCGCTGTGGCTTAGCGGAAACCAAGGTGAGGGTGGCTTACGTTTGCTTGCGAATCCCCTTGTCAGTGTTGCTGTTGCAGGCTTCTGTGGTGGGGTTCTGCTGGAGTCGTGTCCCGACACTCTCATTCGTCGAGACTGCGACTTGCCTTTCCCTAGTCCCTTGGCTGCTGGAGAAGAAACACCAGGGTTCAAGCTCTAGGTTCTAAAGTAGGTCGGCTTCTAGGTAATCCAATTCTGACAACACCAACCTATGATCACGACTCGAGACCCCTTCTAAACAAGTTACATTCACAGCCCTAAACCATTGAAATCGATCATGGCTACGATACGTCCACTCTGCAGGCGCTGCAGCGCGCTCCTCCCCCCGACCCGTACATTCACATCCTCCTCCGTCCGTCTCTCAACTCCGAAGTCAGCATCGACAATTCTCTCGAAACCTACATGGTCTGTCGCCTCTCTCCTCCCATCCTCCTCAAAGAGTGGCGCCGTGAAGGAGTCAGCAGACGAGCCAATCTCCCGCGCAAAGCTCCATCACCTCCTTCGCCTGTCCGCCCTCCCGCTCCCCGAATCCGAGGCGGAGGAGACCGCGATGTTGCGCACACTGCACTCTCAACTACATTTCGTGCGCGATGTCCAAAGCGTAGATACCACTGGCGTTGAGCCGCTTCGTTCATTACGCGACGAAACAACAGAGGGTGTGGCAGAAGCCACGATTGGCTTGCAAGAGCTACAGAATGCCCTGGGCAAGGAAATCCGCTTCGGTCACAAGAGACGACCAAAGAGATTGCGCGGGGAAAAGGTTGAAACCACAGGAGTTGAGGACTGGAACCCTCTACAGACTGCGTCGAGGACGGCTGGAAAATACTTTGTCGTTCAGAGCAGCAAAAAAGAGGAAGCATGATACCCATTAAGTAGGATACCCGGTGAGACATTCCATTGATAAACATATTCGTTTTCCCATTGATCGTATCTCGTTGTGTTACAAATGTCTGTGCCCATTTCCCCGGTGTCGTAGCTAATAATATTGCAATAGTCCATCCATCCATAATCCACGCCATTTACCACGTCCAGTAACAATGGCCCATGTCTAACCATATCTCTACCGATCACCGCAGCTAAGATGCTCTCCGTAGCCTAATCCTGGATCTTCATCTTGCTCATTTTCGAATCGAGCTTGGCGTCGTTCTTGTGCTGCACTTCCTCCTGAATGTGCTCAGCTTCCTTGTCCATGTCGACGTAAGTTTGCTTCTGGCTCTTGTCACGGCCGTATTTCTCATCCATGAGGCTGAGGACTTGCTCGTCCTTTTCGATCTGCGCGTAGTCGAGATCCTCCCAGCCAATATTCTTGAGGATGGTACCAATCATGTATTGGTATCTCAGGTGGCCGCTAACCATGCTGCTCACGTCGTAGTTCTCTACGCCTTCGGCGCCCTGGATTGGCTGCAAGCCAGCAACGCCGAACTGGAGGTTGGACGTCCGGTACAGGAAGCCCAGAATATAATCGTTCTCCGAGTAGACGTTGACAAGTCTGCCAGCAACGACGCTCTTCAAAGCAAGCCAAACTCGGCTTTCGGATGGCGCCGGGGTGCCAATCATGACCACGGACTCAATGAGGCCGAATTGGCGGCGTTCGGCAAGGACCATCAAGCAGGTGTAGATAGCTCGGGCAGCCAAGCTGTAACCAATCAAGCTGACAGGTCGATCCCCCTGCACTTTGCGACTAATGGCCTCCGCTAGGATCATGCCGACCTTCTCGGCTCGGACCATTCCGACACTCCAAGGATTGTCAATGACCTTGCTGACCTTGAGAAGGCCAATGGGCCACATGGCTGACATGAGGCTGGCAAAGACTTAAAAATGATTAGCAAGGGGGCTTTGCGTTACGTGGCGAGAGACTTACTGGTCCGCGTGATGATTTCCTTCTTGGCAACACTCCAGGCGGTACTCTTGATGACAGTCTCGAGCGAGTTTCCCATATTCATCAGGTTGGCAACTTCCCATCGCACAGCGTATACCTCACCTTGGTGGCCGATGCAACGCCAGGGGTTGACCACATCTTCCTTCTGAGTCAGCCAACCACTGAGGGCAAGGACAACTCGAAGGCGACGATCCTTGGACGGGATCTCTTTGGCGTCGCGATACTCATCTCGCATCTCGCCATGTAGAGGTAGAAACGCAAAGTCGGCAACATCTCTGGCGTACTGGTCCATCATCTTGGATGTCTGGCGAGCGCCGTAAATGCCGAATAAGCTGCCAACGACAACGCCACTCTGGGCTAGAGTGCCGAGCAATCCAGCTGCCGCCGTGGAACCAAGTCCAACACCGCCCATAACGGTGCCAATGCCAGCAGCGACTAGGGGAGCCGCAAGACCTCCAGTGACACCAATGATGGCAGCACCGGCGGCGCCAGCAAGTCCAACCTTCCAGCGTCTGGTCGATTTGTTCTCCGCAGACTTGTCCTCCACTACCTCATCAGCGTTGACCTCCTGCACAGTCTTGCCGAGACCTCTGGCAACCCGAACCTCATCCTCTTGAAAGAAGCGGAGAGTTAGGTGAAGCGATGACGCCAACTTGAGCATGAAGACGCGAGAGAAGGCCGTGTACTGCTCCAGTGACAGGAGAAGCAGCAGAATTGTGTGAAGCAACAACTTCCGGCGCTCGATGGGCAGGGCGGTCAGTGGTGTGGCACTCGGAGGGAATCGTCTGATGAGCCAGAGGTCGGTCTCGGGTTGACGGGTAGCCGGCGGGCCTGTTCAAGTCAGCATAAAAGCTCGGGATTATGGGGTGGGCAGCTTCTAACGTACCACCTGTCTTGACGCTGAGGGCGCCACCTCTACTATCACGGCCACGCGGGGCAGTGCCTCGACCTCCCTGAGGTGGACCGCGATCACGGCGACCGCCGCGGGCTCCACGAACAGCACCCCGACCTCCACGACCGGCTGGGGCGGCTGAAGCTTCGGAATCCTTGACCGAAATGTCCTTGGCGCGCGTCAGAACATTGCCCTGCCACTTCCTGAAGACGACAAGACACTCCTTTTTGAGCTCCTGAAGCTGAGGCGTCATGGCCTCTTTCTCTTCCTTCTCGACTATCTCATGGGCTTTGTTGTACGTCAACCCACCCTTCTGCTGGTTCGAAGTCGAAGCAGAGCCGGCATTCTCCTTGTTGACCCTGCTCTCAGATTGAGGGGTGGCAGGCTTGCTGGTCACCTTGTTCTTCAGCAGCGAGAGGGATAGCCATGAGTGCTGGGGGTCCTCGGTCGTAGCGGGAGTGATGGGAGGAGAGTGAAAGATGTTGCTTATCTGGTCCTGCATGCTGTCCAAGATGTTGCTGACCAGGTTGATGAGCTCGTTCTTCTCCTCGAGAGTGAGGACGCCGGTAAGATCGGTCTGAGTACGACGGCGCTGGCCGTGAGGGCGTCTCGAGCCGGCCATTGTATCGGGGTCGTCTGGGTCTCGTTCCCAGTTACCGTCTTCTTCTTCTTCAAAGGAGCAAATAGAAGATGCGTCCAAAGTCTCCTCGTCAGAGTAGGCGTAGTTGTATTGGTCCTCGTCGTTTTCCGAGGGTAAAGTGTTGATGTTGAGATCAGGATTGGAAGTCGGATCAGGTGCGGCAGCAGGGTGAGAGCTGGCAGGAGGGGTTTCTGTGTTTGTGCTCCTTGGGTGGTTGTGAGGTGGTACGTCCGTCGCTGCCTCCTGCACAACCGCATCCTGCCCCACGGCAGGTGCTGCCGGGGAAGGCGAAGAGCCAGGCGCGGTTTCCATACTGGGCAATATTTCGAGGAATCAACTGCCACCCTGGAATAAGGCGAAGGCGGGAAAGGGCCACGGTGAATACAAGGTGAAAAGCTACAAAGAAATCACGGGCTATGATTAGACACCAAGCAAGCGGACGGTGAATATGTCAGTCAACCTTTCTGTAAGTCTGATTGTCTGTCTGTATTTCGTGTCTACCTCAGACACACAAACACAGAACGAGAAGAAGAGAGGGCAAAGATGAAACGGTAAGTTGGTGAAGCAAACACAAGCAACGGCAGCATCGTGTGAGGGAAACCGGGGAGGTGAGCTCTGTTTGTAGTCGCGCGGGAAGCTGCGTCCATCTCAGACCCCTGACGTCAGCTGTCAGGTCGCACCCAGTGATGCACCACCGCATCACTGGCGCACTGCAGGGGTCACGGACGCTGCTTCTGGGGTGCGAACCGATCTTATCGATAGAAAACCGCCTGGGGGAGGGTCGCCGCTGGCCGGTCTGATTGGCAGCTGCCCGCGGCGCCTGCAACGTCTCCAGCGTTCTTCCCGTGCGGCCGCCCCTCCTAAGCCTCCCTCCCGGACGCTTGCAGTTGCGCTAATGCACGGTTTTTCGGCCCTCTTTCTGGAAGCTGGCAAGTTGGGGCTCCAGAGCTCCTACCCTGGCACTTGGCTCCCGATGGTCACCAAAAAATAGCCCAGGCCCGATCCAGTGGATGGCTGCCGTCCCGTTCGCCTTCGCCCCTGCTGATCCGCTGTCAACTCTATTTCCGTCCCAAGGTGCGGGCGATATTTTCAGTCACATTGCCTTTTCAGTCGGTTTATTCGTGTTGGGATGCAAAACTATATGTCTCTCGCTTGCGGTAGGACGTTTCTCCAGTCATCCAACCTCCGATTGAGCGGACTGTCACCTGACACAACCAGAAGAGACAATAACATATCTCCAAAAACTTGAGAACGCCATGATCATCAGGCTTGTTCTTAGTTACAAACTGACTTGTATGGCGTCGAACGATTCGTACCGTTGATATCATAAGCCAATACGATAACACCGTGCCTGCTTTCCCCTTGTAGCTGTTCGCATACTTGTGCTTGAGAACCAGTAGCATGACTTCCGGTTATTCTTACCTGCTTCTCAAGACTCTTGAGTTTCAATGACGATCTTTGGAGGTTGAAGTACAACCAGATCTAAAGACGGTTCCAAGACTTCCCAGAGCCAGTCCTCGAGGCAACTATACTATTTCCCATACACCCTCCCGCAAGGTCGCGTGGAAGCCCAAGAGGTTTATGCAGGAGTTCTCGACATTTGACTTTCCTCTGCCACTCTACCCTCAAGGTAGTCCATCTCCGTTAATGGGCGACGAAACTGAAACTTGACATAGCCATCAGGGCACTTAGCCGAGGGGCTTCATGGCTTTGAAGACAGCGGAGATAAAATGGGTCATGGCCCTTCGAGCACCTTGATGTTTTCCAAATTCCTATAAGATGCTCTCATTTTCCCTTACAATTTCTCTTCTCTTCTTTTCTCTCTCCTCAGACACAGTCTCATCCTCCTTCCATCCCCTCAAGGCAACAGGAGCCCTCTATGGATTCCCAAGCCCCCAACACCGGTTCAGCTTGAACGATACCGACAACGCAGCATATCAAGCCCTAAACAGGCCGCTGGTATCATATCTGCTTGGTTACACACATACCTTATGCTCACATAAGACCAGGGCATGCCAGATAGCACAAATGGCACCCCCTTGTGTACCCATCACCCCTGTCGCACATAGCTCTCCTCCTACAGCTCGGGGATCAACGACTCATGGATTACTGGAGTCTCTCCCCATCGACCGCGGAGGTCTCCAACATATCCACTACCGTTCCCGAAATGGCCCATCTCTCGGCAACCTTAAGCCATAGGGAAGGGGCTGCGACAGTCCCGAATGCACCCAACACCACCGACCTACAGCACTGGCCTCGCATAAGACAGCCTGCAACACGCAGGAGATTACGCAGGCTTATCAGAGGGTTTAACACTTCAGCCTTCACCTCGTACAAGACAGCCAGTGACAAGCTGGAGATTGTACAGGTTTAGACGGAGATCTAGCCCTCCCCGTTACGACATGCCTCGCATAAGACAGGCAGCTTTCAGCTGGAGATTATGCAGGTCTAGAGGATGATCCAACCCTCCCGGGAATATACACGACAAAGTGTAAATAGTGCTGGCACTATTACCCAAAGAGTCGACTAAGCGACAGAGGGAGACGATCCAGAGACCTTAAAGGCCTGTGGTCAGAGTTCAAATAACACCACAGTGGCTTCCGAAGAAATCAACCACACGTCGGTCGAGGCAGAGCCCCCCCCCCCTCCAAAAGTGCTTCGTCCACGACCGCAAGGCGTTGAAATGGAGGGCGACTTCTGCAAGCGCCAAGATCTCCATGCCTCACTCAACACGACGTTCCTTCGGACAAGACTCAACGGGACAGATCTTACTTCTCATCAGAGCTGACGAAGACTCTGTCCATCCTCATCACATCTCACATCACCCTCTCCAGCCCGCACAAACCCCCAGTCAATTTGCCGGCCAGTCAAATAACCACGTCGACGAGCCCGCCTCCAACGATGCCCCTCGACAAGTCTGCCCCTCTCAGGCTCGACGACTTCGGCCAGCTCGACGCCGTAGCCATCGTGGCCACCATGGGCATGTTGAAGTTAGAGAAGCAACGCAGGGCGTTCCGACGGTGCGGAATCCGGCTAGGCGACGGCACGAACGCCGTGGACAGCCGGGCCGGTACGGATGCCAGGATCCGGCACATCGACGCCGGCCTGGCCATAATGGCCACGATGGGCGGGCCGGAGGTGCACAGAGTCAGGGCGACAAGCTAGCGCCTCAGACAGCTCCTACGGGCCCCCCCGAGCGACGATAATACCCGTAAAAGAGAACGGATCATGCTGAACCTGGCTGCCCACGCGGGCTGGCACCAGGAGGTCCTGTGCGCGTTGGAGTGGGTGAAGCTCGCCCTGTAGACGGCTGGAAGCGGCGGAAGGTCGGGAGTTTTGGTTAGTAGTTAGGTATGGAGCGCAATACACCCAGTTTTCCCCAATACGTAATACACGGTACGGCCCCGGCGGATTGCTCCGTCGGGGGTGTTCTGCCCCTTATATATTTGGCAGTTTCTACTTGATCAATGGTCTCAAGCTCCACTGCACCGTTCACTTCCACCCAGTGACATCTTTGGATGCTTTGGTCATTCAGGTGCCGTCTCAGGTAGACAAATTGTAGTCTATCTGTCTCGAAGACCGGTTCATCACACGTATATATCACGAGCGTAGTGTGCGAACAATTGTAAGTTTGTATCCGCAAGGACGAGGGTATGCGTACCTCAAGGCAGATTATCTATAGTTCCCTCTACCCAATTAACGAAGTGAAATATTCCAGCCTCACGCCGGGAAAAAAAAAGAAAAGAAAAGAAAAGCGAGGAAGAAAAAAAGGGTGGAAAAGAAGGTCGCTTGTGGGTTTCGAATCCACAAACTACAGCTCGGTAGCTTTGCACTTCGGGATTAGGGGTATAACCATCTTAAGCTTCTGGGCAAGAGTCCCTTTTACTGCTGTTGAGAATTTCCGAGGTGAACTAGCATATAGACCACGCTCCGACCTGTCCTGTGATACCTCAGGCTGAGGGTGACGAATACGCATGCGAGGCATACCTACTTATTCTTCAGGCAAGAGTGACACGAGGTTGAAAGATGCTGGGGTCTGAATAGTTGAAAGCGATACCGATGTTCTCGGCTGAATTGAAGTAAAGTAATTGAACAGGGCGAGATGCTGAAAGAAAGTGACAAAAAGAAAAAGGAGTCACCAATGGTGAATTGAACAAAAGGTTAGGTTGAGTGAGGCCTCGGACTTATGGATTAATCTATGACTCCCTCCAAATACCCCTCGGCCAGGTTCCCCTTGTGCCTCTTATGGTAGGACAGAAGGAGAAGTGACCCAAGTACCTACCTAGCGGTGCACCTCGCCCCTCCATCCCAAGGAGCATTCGAGGGCTCGGAAAGACCTTCACCTGCCCTGGGAGACTGGATTCAGACAATCGTCCAAAGGAGACCTATTCAGGTTTTCAGGTTACAATCTCAGATGACCTATTGTTTTGAACACGTCGAGAGAAGGGCGCAAGACAAGGAGGAGGAACTTTCATACCACCTGCTGAATGCTAAATGCCTCCTTCCTCACAAACCTAGACACCCAACCAACTACTGCTGACAGGAGAGTGATGTAGACATATACAAGTAGCGCACCTGAAGTAAATCATCGCACTTGGGGCTTGGTGATGAGTCTCTGCTACCAGAACGGAGGAAGAAGTCAGCTCAGAAATCTTTGTGATCAGTATGTCACCTAAAACTCGGAAGCCGACCAAAATGGCCGTTCTCATTCATCGGCGGTGTGCCAATGCACCCGTCGTATGCAAACTCTGCCCTCACTGCTCGTCGCGCAGAGGGCGCCATATGGGCCTTTACGGAACTGATTGCCTGGATAGAATTTGATAGTACCCAAAGTTTGCGTCGCAATTAACAAGGAGTGGAGAAAATCAGTCGCACAGCGGGCAGGCATTACGCCGCCTGTATGGGACGTTTAGATCAATCGAAGATCGTGTGCTTGGCATAGATCGTTTCATAGTTCGTTTCCAAATAGGTAGTCTTACAGTTGAAGCAAGTCGTTTCTCAGACAAGTCTTCCTTGCCCTGATGTACATTAAGTCTCCATATACTCCTCAAGTGATAGATAGTGGTGCCATCACGCCATTGTTATAAAGCGGCAATCATTTCTGGACCATTTGGCCCGTCCCACGCTGGTCTGGCTAAGTAGCAGCAGGATTTGTCTCCGATACTTAAATGTTCCTCTAGTATTCATTAAACACGAGCAGTCGGGTTGTGCTGCTTCTCCTGCTTGAACGAGTCCCGATGATAGTCAACCCCTCCAGCATGCGGCACAGCAGGCGGGCTAATGTCCTGCCTAAAGATGTACTTCTTCCAAAAGTAGAAGAACTGCGCGAGCCCGTACCGCGCAAAAGTCCGCAGTGGAACGCTGAACACGGCGTCCAGCTCCTCGAGGGTCTTCTCCTTAGTCTCCGGGACGAGCAACAACACCAGGAAGAAGCCGATGATGTTCCAACCGCCATACCACCCAAAGGCGCCCGTCGGCGTAAAGGCCGCCTGAAGAGAAGGCCAGGTGACGGCAAGGAGAAAGTTGAAGAACCATGTCGTGGCCGTCGCCAGAGACATGCCAATGGGGCGGATGTACAGCGGGTATGCCTCGGCCGAGTAAGTGAAAGGTACCGGTCCCTCGCCAGGGGAATAGACCATGCCGAAGAGATAGATGCCCAGGGCGATGCAGGCGATCTTGGCGGGGTTTGTAGGTATATAGAATGAGAATCCAGTGAAAAAAAGACAGATGGCCATCAATGGGAAGGTTGTCAAGAGTAAGTTGCGCCGTCCGAAAGTATCAATCGTGTAGAAAGCCGGAAGAGCGAAGAGCCAGTTGATGATGCCAAAGCCAAGGGACGCCGACAAGGCACTTACTTCGCTGAACTCGGCCGCCAGGAAGATCTCAGAGCTGTAATAAGCTGCTCATGATTAGCACAGTGTTTGAGATACTCTGGATGAGAATAATCATCGGGTCTGAGGCATCTTTTCCATCACCGTCCAATATGCAATACACAACCGTTTGAAACGGTTCCATACGCGTATAAACTATACTAGTATACATAGATATACTGTACAAATATATACAAATACCATACAAGACCTCGTTATATAAATAAAACTCACCTATGACGTTCACGCCGCAAAATTGTTGAAGAAAGGGGACCCTCACCTGCCTGCTCCATGTACCTCCATGCAGGTCCATGTACAGGCTGGAGGCTTCCAGCCTTTGTCCCCTATTACCTATTAATAGTCCATAGGGATTCCTTTCCCTCAGGAAG